AAATAAATAAATAAATAAATAAATAAAACCCCACCAACAATAACAACAACAAACAAAACATGCAGGGGTGGATGGGGACGCTAATGATGGTATAAAGGGGGAATTTAAGAAAGATACGCTCTCGCATGGTTTTTGCAATGCCCTGCATGTGTCAATTTAAATTTACTAGGAAAATGATATCTTGATGAAGTCAGGACATTTTTACATTGCCTAATAATAAAATTTTAAGTGCAGTTCTATTTTTTTCGTTAAGACTGGGAAACTGCTTCTTAATTTTTACATCAAGCCCAACTACAGGAGAAAGTAATTGATAAACTGTAAATAAACAGTACTAAAAACCAAACACACACTGACACCACTTTATTTCATACTCATACGGTTGATCATTGATACGAAGGCGCTAACGGTGCAGTGATGGTGCAATCGAAATTAAGTCTACAAGCACAAACCTAATTAAAGCATTGTAAGTAAAGTGGCTAAAGAAACAGATATCCCTCTAAGATGGCTGTAGAGGAGTTCGTCGGGAAAACTCTTGATCTCCTGGACAAGGAGAGAGAGGCTGAAATTGAAGAAACTCAGTAAGTCAAGTAGACTAGTTTTATCCTAGCTCTAGACTAGATCTGGGATCAAGAATCAAGTAGGATGAAAAATGAATTTTGTTATAAGGGCAGACTTATAGAATCTAATCTTTCATCTTTCTTTAAAAGGGAGGACTTCCGTAATGAGCGACCACCCTAACGAACACGATAAAGAAGAGCGGAGGAGACCTAAGGAAGCCGAGACCTAAACCTAACCGTTAGCCTAACCCTAAGTGCACTATGAGACAAAGTGAAATAGAGGGCCAGGGTAGCTTCCAAGAAAAAAATACAGTTCTTTGGAAAGGTCAGAGAAAGAAAAAAAAAGTTTCCATACAGAAAGTTATTACTCACTCAACAAGGGTAGCCTGCACATTTCGGTATTTTACTTTCCCTCCCGTCTCACACTCAGCGACCAGTTGTCCATTTTCTACTAAATATTGATGTGCTGAACACGAATATCAACTTCATTTCCGTTGCAATTTAATAGTTTTTGAAATATTTGATTGTTTTTAACTGAGATAGACATGCTTTGGACCAATCGGGGGGTTCCAGGGGGGCCTGTCCCACTGGGAAAAGAAAATCTGGGGGGTTACAGGGGGGCATGCCCCCCTGTTTTTACCCATAATTTTATATTTTACAGTTAGATTTGAAATTGTCTTGAAATTAATTGATTTGCGACAGTTTTAGTGGCTTTATGTGTGATCTGCAGCAAACAGTACAGCAGTTTGACCCCTGAAACAGTGCATCTGTGTGCGGGAGTGAAAGTAAAAATTTACCCACATTTCATGTGTACAACAATGAACAGACTGAAAGGTGAATGGGAAGACACAAACAAGCTGGAAATTGCAACAACAAGGAAATGGGCATAAAGAAATTGTCTCTAATGAGTAGATTAGAAATTTACAATGGTTTCACTGTTGTCCGTTGTGAAAAGAATTGTAGAGATCTGAAAAAACAAGATTACACGTAAGACCAAGTTCAAACACCGGATGCTGGCTTCAGATTTGGTTATCATTGAGGTGATGCTGTATAGACTACTCATATGAAGTGTAGTAGTTTCACTTCACTGCACTGTATCTTTGTAGTCATTAGTAGTTTCCGTTATTGAAATGATAGTATCATTTAATTGTTTGTTGTATAGGATTTCTGAAAGTAGCGCATTTCCTGTGCCAATCATTTTGGTGATTCTGTATGTTGTGCTATTTTGAGGAGCCACAAGGCACAAGGTATCTCACTGTGGTTTACTTGATGAACTAAGGGCTATGCTTCCAATCAACATACAAACAAGGTCTGCACTTCCAGTGTTCATATATAATGCCCTCTTTTCATTTCCAAGATATGAGTTGATAAGAATTACATGATATGACCGCTACCTAGCATTTGAAAATGGTTTACCTACGTAAATGATGATACAAAATGGGTTCATTCCCTTCAGTTGACTTAAGTACAGTCTAGTACTTAGTTTTAAAACTTAGAATATAATAGGTCTATACTATACAAACATGTAAATTATATATTCTAATGTACGTTCTGGAATGGAAGTGGGACAGAGAATCATTTTATTGTCTGGGTTGTTCAAAGTGTTCTGATGAAGTGAACGTACAGATTATTGTAACTTTTAATAAAAGCTTTGTGTCCAATAAATTACAAATTAAGTGTTATATTTTTGTATCATGAATTTGTTTTTATTTAATCACAGTTATTTTATAATTCATTCTTGTTGTAATTATTATAATTAGCTGTTTGAATCAAGGTTTGTGAGAGAGTTATTTCAGCAGTTACAAGACAATTTAACAAAACTTCACTTTTTAATGTACAATAATGAGGCAACTGATTTTGATTGAACGTTATGTTTTCATTTCAGGTCTCTTTTAAGCTCGTTATCGGCCAAAGAGTTAGAGAGGAAAGGCGTTTGTCTTTTAAAGCTGCAGCTGAAGTCACGGCGGTCTGGTCTCTATGGGCGAATGCTAGCTACCTTTGAACCAAGAGTTAAGTCTGGTGATAAAAATGCCAAACCTGAACTGCCATCTCACAACATTACTCCTGGTAAGTGGCTCTGTTTTTAGTACTCTTGATTAAATTTTTTAGCAAGTTTGTCTGAAATTGGTTTTATTTTTAGTAACTGAGTTGAGCTAATGATTGTTTAATTGGATTTTTTTTATTATGGTGCTCCTATACCGTGACAGTATTTTACGCATTGACAAAGTAAATTCTAATCAGGAAAAGGGAAGAATTAAGTATTGATTTTAACTGTTCGGAAGAGCCAAAAAAAGGTTTTAATCAAAAAAGGGTTATATAAATCCCACTGAGATATTTTTGACAAATTTAAGGGAATGTTTCATGCAAAGAATTAGGCTGGTTCTAAATCTCAAATTTTGAATACTAAAAGGGATACAAATGGGTATTTTTATGCCTATCTAGTACATTGGCTGTGTCTGTATTTTTTTCCCCCCATCAGGTGACATCGTCGGGGTGGCTGAAATGAAGAGCGAGCCCACAGACAAACCTCTGATCACCGGCATTGTGTCGCAAGTGACTTCCTCCCACATTGCCGTGGCGTGTGATGAGTCCCAGGACATTTTTGAGCTGAATGAAGACGAACTTTTCAAGCTCACCAAACTTGCCAATGATGTCACGTACCGCAGGCTGAAGGCGTATGTTATGTTGAATATAATTTGAATTATGCCAGCTTGGTTTGTGAAGAGGGACTTTTTTTAGTCCCACCTCTGACGTAATATAACATAATAAAAACACTATATATAAATCAAACTTTAAGAAGATGGGATAATGGATATCAAGCTGTAGACTTTTGTCACAGTTTGTAAGCTCACAGGGGTTCTCTGTGCAAATAATTTAAGGATTTATCATTTAAAGTGATACCTCCAGCAACAATTTTTACATTTCATAAGTGATTTTCATTGCTGAAAAAAATGTTTGGATAGTACTCTAGTATGATCTAACTCTCAAATTGAATGGTTTTAGTGCTCTTTTGAACATTGGTCATTTATATTGAATTGTTTGAATGATGGCAAAGTGATATCACACAGCTGATGAAGTGTTGAATGAGCTTATTGTGGATACATTAAAAGTAAAGGAGAAACCGTTGGAAAAAGTGCTAAATCTCATGACAGTTTTGCAAGTAAAGTAGATATATATTCACATGATAATGACAGAGATGAGAAAGTTAAACACTGTTTTCTCAGCCAGTTACTTTCACAAAGACACACTGTAAAAAGGATAGCTCTAGATCTGTGAGAGAGCCCGGTGGTAGTTTATAAGAGAGTCTGGCTGTTTGTGTGGTCAGTGACGACAAATAATTTAAATTGGTCAGACTGAGATGAATTTCACAGATAATTCACATCATGTGCCACTTTTCATCAGTTTTGTCCCAACATACACGTTTGAGCATGAAGTTTCCAAAATTCACTTGGACCTGAGAAACCCACTCCAGCAGTATTTTTGATTGAAAAAGCATTTAAATTAAGTTGATAATGATTGGGTGAATTATATATATATATTTCTCGATGTTTATTTATCTTTTATTTGTTGTTTACTGTCTTACTTCTTACTTGTCCAGAACTCTGAATGAACTACTCAAGTATCGCAGCGGGCCGTCGCAGAGACTTATAGATACTTTTTTCTGCTTGGCTGAAGTTTCAGAACCCAGTGGAGATTTCCGTAAGTAATCTTGGCGAAGTCATGGAATCCTTTTTATAATTATGAAGTCAAATGACTAAGACAGCCTGTCTAACAGTTTGTTGAGTGAATTACGACATTAAATTTTTTTTCATTCCAAGAAGGTCTGGTTTCCTGCTTATTGATCGATGATGGGGGAGCGGGGCTGTTTCACTGAGAGGTATAAATTTGTTAAATAGAGAAAATTCAGGATGTCCGATCCCTGAAGGTGGATAGTCTACCACACGCATAGCCTCTACAAACAGCTTCTTCCCACTTCTACTCGTGTTTTTTTCTATATTATAATGACATCTAGTTCTCACTGACATAATTGAGGGCAAGCGAGGCAGGGGTAGGCCCAGAACAACATACCTAGGGAACCTAAACAAATGGGTAACAGGGAAAGATCAGGGAAACATAGCTTTTTTGAGAGCATCCGAGCAAAGGAATGAATAGAAAACCATGATTGCCGATGTCTGTCGCAGATCTGGCACTGGATGATGACGATAATGACATTGTTTTTAGACGTCCACCTATCATAGACCACCACTTTTCTCCCTGACAATGGGTGCCCGTCTTAGACAATTTCCACCGTATTTTTTCCGGAGTACAAAATGAAAAACAATCTTAATGGCTTTTATGTGCGGCACTATTTCATTGTGGTTCAATATCTAGTGTATCAGCTGTGGTGTAGACGGTTGTCTTTGCTCGTCCATGTCCTTATATATATATAACATCTTTTCTCTCATTATTTGCTTTGGATGGGTGGTACTTTTCTCTTTCTTTCATATCCAACATCTCTCATCCTTTTCTCTCCTCCTCCTTTTCTTTGTACGTTACTCTCTAGTAATCCCTCTAATCTTTTGCTCTAATGTTATGTGACATAATTGTGTTATAATGCCATAAAACTTGTTCTGAAACTGAAAAAAACTTAACTTGCTTTGGGTTCTGTGTGGCTTTCTCTTCAGCAATCACTTTCGTGAACGAGTCGTTGGACGCATCCCAGAGAGAGGCTGTCCGCTTTGCCTTGAGCCAGAGAGAGGTGGCGGTGATCCACGGACCCCCCGGCACTGGCAAAACCACTACGGTGGTGGAGCTGATCGTGCAGGCGGTCCGGCAGGGCATGAAGGTACGTGTGCTTGGGGGAGAGAGAGACAATTCCTTACCTCAGTATTACAAAGCGATATCCGACATTTTTGGCCGTTTTGAGTTACCAAGACCATGAGATTCAATACTATCATACTTGTAAGATTATTCGGAGTCGTTATCAAGATATTCAAAGCATTCCAGGCTTGTCCTATCAGATATGAATGTTAATTCGGAGGCCCCTGCTCATAAATCAACTGTGCT